GCCAGACATGGGGCTCAATCCCAGGACCCTGGGATCATGATCTGAGCCAAAGGCAGACGCTTAACCGACTGAGCCACCCAGGAGCCCCAAACTGTGTATTGTTCTTATTTAATTCTCTTCCATCCTAATTTTACTTTTTCACTCTAATAAAAATGAAAAGGAGGTGCTTAATGACTAGCTTGTCCAATCATCTGTAGATAAGTGACTTCTTAAAATGAATATGACATGAAGATATTGTCACTGTATCCACATTAGTGATCTGACAACCAGAGGTTGATGCAGCTTGAGCACTTAATGAGTAGAAGAATACATTGTATTGCCACTCTTGCTTTAGACATTTTAGCCAAAGAAATCAGGGCACTTCCCTGCAGTCATGCTCCATTGCTGCTGAGAGCCTGCGTCAGGCCCTTGATGATTTCCCCCCTGGAGCTAATTACCTGCAGAAAGGAAGGAGGCAGAGATGATCATCGCCCGTGGAATTTGCTCTTACACTCCACAGCTCCTCCTCAGCCCACCAAAGTGTCAAAACTAGGATTTTCCCAAAGAGGCCATGTCAACTCTGATGTTACCAGAGGGCCATCATATTAACCAAATCAAGATCTGGTGGAAGGAACACTGAAAAGAGGCCAGAATCCACCTAGCAGGCCTACAGAGGTGAAATGAAGTCCCTATGCCTGTTACCAGAAGAAGCTCGTGCTTACCAAGGGTGTACGTCTCGATGCTGACTTTATCTGCCAAAGGGCTCCTGGTCATCTCTCCCCTCCTGCCATCACCCTTCTCTCCGATCACACCCCAGGCAGTGGCTGCCCATTTCTCAAAACATCCCCAAACTCAACCTCTTCAGTGAGTCCCTTTAGGTTCCCGAAGGGAGTGTTAGCACAACAGGATTTCCACCTGATGCTCTATCAGCTCTGTCTCCTTAGTTCTTTTTCCAGTGGGAATTCCCATGGTTCCCTTTCTCAGCTATATCAACTGTGGTGTAGTTCTCCTTCTAGCACTTTCTGAGAGGAAAACTCTATACAAACACAACCATTTCTGCCCCAGAATATAGGCATTCTCTTAGGGCAAAGAAGGAGCACATCAGGGGTGGTATGTTTGGTGCGTAATAGAAATGAGAATTCTATTTTTTGCTTTTACAACAGTTTAGTTTTGTTAAGCAGCTGTCAGTGTGGCTTTTAGTAAGGGGCCTCTGTAGCTACGTTTTCCCCATGCCCTGGTCCCATCCAATGTCAATATATCATTGACTTTGATTTACTGCAAGTTCCTTCCTCTGCCTATTTGGTGAGTGCATCTAACAACGTGCCTTCAAAATCTTGTTATTTGGTTGTGAGTACGAGGGGTCACTTCTTTCCTGAAGAATCACGGTACTTGAGATGAAGAGGAATGCTCCCGAGACAAGGGTTGCCTGATTTAGCAAGGAAAAATACAGGCTTAAATGTGAATTTCAGATAAACAACAAATATTCTTTAGTATAAGTACATCCCAAATATTGCATACTTACTTCTGGAATGTACAACATGTGCAACATCTTACTAAAATTATTAAAATATTCTATTAAAAATTATTCATTGTTGACCTGAAATTCAAATTTGTTTAGTTGTTTTATATTTTATCTGGCAATCCTGTCTGAGATCAATTTACATATTCTACAGAGACCAGAGCTGGACTATGTCAGAGTAAACAGCACATTTTTTAATTTTCCCAATAAGTGGAGGGGTAGAGTGGTAGTCTTTCCCCACTAAAAATGGCACAGGAAGGGCTATTCGTTCCAATATGCACATCTGCTTAGGATTGACCCACTGTGCTACCTCAGAATCAGGTTGGATAAGCTGTATCTATTTAATAGTGTTGTGTATGTCATTACTTGAAGCTACTCATGGCTACTTTTGGAGGCATGCATTTTAATTAATTGCTATTCTTTTGTACTTCTTCCCTGAGGTGATTTTTCAAAATCTTAAACTATAAATCTAATCAGTAGGTTTCTGGGTCTATTTAAATACTGACATTTAAAAATTTTTGAGGATGGCAGTGAACATTAATGAGATAGAGGATATACAAGAGAAATGAAATATAATTGCCGCTGGAGTTCATGATAGTAATGATAAAAAAACCCAAACTTCTCCAAAGTGTTACACGGAAACACATTTCTTTCAGATCATGACGTTTCTAAGCTATGTCTGAAGGTCCAACCAAGGTTTAGTGTAACCTAGTATAGAGTTGAAAGGACTCATAGTAAAACAAACAAATTCTGAATGTCAAACTGGAATTTTAATAGACTAACACTAACCTGATTATACGCCTAGAATATTAAGGTCAACAATTTTCCAACAGTTGGATAAACTCTTTGATAAAGGAAGCCTATTGCCGCCGAGCACAGCTGCACTGCCAGCCACTGGCCTTAACTTTTTAGAAAGGAGAATTTAGGTCCCACCCCACCCCCATTCCTCTCATTTTAAAGAACTGGCATGGTTTGGGCTTATGGTGGGGGAAAGGGGGCTCTATCATAGCTTTGTTACCACTCCCCTCAAAGTTCTGTAACAGAGTGGTAGATTAAAGATGGCCACAAATTCTTTGCTCTTTTTCACATTGAAAAGTGAATACTTTCCTTCGCCTTGAATCTGGACTGGCCTTAGTGACTTGCTTGATCAATAGAATGCAGCGTAAGTGACAAGCTGGGAGTTTTGAGACAATTTTATAAGAAGCTTTTTGACTTCCACACAGGCCTCTTGAAATGCTCTCTCTCTGGGAGCCCTGAGTTACTATGTCATTGCCTAAGACCACATAGCTGGAGAGGCCATGTGTAGGTCTTTCGGTAACTGTTCCAATGGAGTTCAGCCTTCCAGCCACCACCAGGCACACCTGTGAGTGAAGCCATCTTGGGCCTCCAGACACCGCCCCTCCCCCAAGTATTACCAAGGGACTTCATATTGATGCCTCCTCGAACAGAAGAACAGCCCAGCCGAGCCTAGTTGGAATTCTTGACCTCTGAAATCATGATATAAGATGGTTGTTATTTTAAGCCACTAAGTTTTGAAGTAGTTCGTTAAGTAGGTAACCAGAACAAATAGTGATGTATTGATCTTTACACTTAAAAAGAGAATGAAGTAGGAAGAAAAAAAGGGTGGGCTGATCGGAGGAGTGGAATAGAAGGAGATCATAAATGCCTTGGACACAAATGAAAGATGGGCTAGGGATTTAGAAGACTTAGAGAAAGTTAAAAAAAAAAATTCAGAGTCACAAATTTTTTATCAGGCTACTACTGTGATTTAGGGCTACACTCACAACTTGTCCCGACTTCTTAGGGATTCAGAGGGAAAAGAGCAGGAAAGTCTTGCCTCACGCAGATGCTGTGAACAGTAATGAATAAACATGACAAATAAAAATGCTTCAAATAAGACCTGAAAATGCTAAATATGTAAGGAGCAATCTTTGCACCTACTGAAAATCGTTCATCAGATGATTTCAAATTGAAGGCGTCTCAGGAGAAAATAACTTTGAAAACACAAACTGGCTTTTACTTTTTGTACTTTTATTGAAAAGGTACATTTAAAAAAATACACAGACATTTTACCATTTACAGATTGCAGATATAGATGCTCTAAAAGAGTTCACTCTATTTTGTTGTTTTATGATACCTCTTGCCCCTGATACCACAAACATTCCAGTCTTGTTGATACCAGTTTAGAAAGGGGGGCATGGGAGCATGACCTGCAACATATTCGGTGAACAGAAAGACAAATTGTTCAATTATAAATTTTTTATCTTCTGTACATTATTGCATTAGGGAGCCACAAAATTATGTAGCATCATTACAAATGAAACAGGTTAAAAATGAAAAAGATAATTACGTAGAAATACATGGATTCATTGTCTCCTTGCAGAATGCACAAGAGGTGCAAAAATGTGCAACTTAGGAAGCTCTTTTTTTCTGGTTGTATACATTTGCTTAGCAACTCAAACTAAAGTGAGGAAGCTACAAAATAAGTTAAACAAAAATAGCAAACAGGTAGTAATTATAGCTATGTTATATGGCTTTCTAGTTCTTTTAAATATTACCAAATAAAACGTGAAACAAAGAAAATACATTATCTTTTGTTCTCTTAAAGAGAAAATTCAAAGCTACTTTGCTTCCTAACATTTACACAGCAACTAAAAATGTTGAATTTAGACAAGAGATACAGAACTAGTACTACACAGGATACAACAGTACTTGGGTCTAAAACAGTACACAATCCCTGTCGACAAGAGTACACCAGAAAAGAAAACATGGTGATCCGTTGGTAAGATGGTATCCACAAGTAAGCACTTGTGTTCATCTATTTTTGTTCCACACTAGAATGTGCCCAGTTGGATTCCAGAGTTATTTACAGACGTGTGAGGAAGACCCTAGTTTTCAAGTCTGTCAGGAAAATATTCCTTATCGTTTTCTAAGCCAGATCACACCCATGGAAAAAGAGTCAGAGAATGGTATATAGATACATTGTTTTGTTTTGTTTTCTGACCGATACATTTGCAAGAAACCAATTATCTCAGATACACAGATCGAGGGGCGGGGGAGCGGGGAGAGGGACAGGGTGGGGGTAGGGAACAGGGGCATAAAGCCTGGGCTGCTCAGATCCCTAACGGTGGGAGCGGTCCCTAAAAGCACTTTTTTTTTTTTAAAGATTTTATTTATTTGAGAGAGAGAGAATGAGGGATAGAGAGCACGAGAGGGAAGAGGGTCAGAGGGAGAAGCAGACTCCCCGCCGAGCAGGGAGCCCGATGTGGGACTCGATCCCAGGACTCCAGGATCATGACCTGAGCCGAAGGCAGTCGCCCAACCAACTGAGCCACCCAGGCGCCCCCTAAAAGCACTCTTGAGCCTAGTGATTTCTTAAGTCTTTGGAGTCGGGGCTGGGGTGGTGGCTGGGGGAGGCGGAGTTGGGGCCGCAACGCCAAACGCTCCCGCCGCCGCCGCACCCCTCGGGCCCTCCCCGCGCAGCGGCCCGGGGCGCCGGCGGTCAGTAGGGCGCGAAGAGGATGGAGGCGGGCGTGGCGCGGATGGGCCCGTGACCGGGCCGCAGCAGCGCGGGGGGGATGGCGGGCGGCTGGAAGAGCGACGCCGACGGTCGGGGCGGCAGCGACAGTGCCGACGACACCGCGGCCGCCGCCGCCAGGGGCGACGACAGGAAGGCCGGGGCCAAAGGCTTCATCATGTCTTTCTGGAATGCAAGTTTTGCCTAACGGAGGGAGAGAACCGGGAACGGGGTGGGGAGATGGTTTTCAATAAGCACCGCGGACATCTTTTCGCAACACAGACGTTAAGAAGTCAGCTTTTCAAGACCGTGACTCTCAAAAGTCAGGAAATTATTTTCACAAGGGTGGTTTTCAGAGGCTCTTGGCATATACCTTTGCTTTGATTTGTTTCCATTTCCACTCTTTTTCTGGTGGCCCTGGCCTCTGGGCACTAGGAAGCGGGGGCGGGGAGGAGGAGCCTCTCTGAATAGATACTAAAGCTATTTTGTGTCGCTTCTTCTCACAAAGAAAAAACAAACATACCCAGAAAGTTTCCTGCTTAGATAATGGAGCTCAATTTAAAATTCTGACTACTCGTAAACCACAGTGCAGCGTTGAGGTTTTGGGGGTGGGGTGGGGGGGGAGTATGCCTGACCCTACACTTATCTCTGAAGAGCCGCATTGCGTGAAGTAACTGGGGTTCAGGACGTTAGGGACCTGTTAAGCGTCATGAAAACAAAGTCAGTGTGCACCTCTCCCTCTGGCCACCTTAGGAGTATTCCCTGAAAAACTGCAGCTAACTCAAATTTCTGTCGTTGGGAAGGATTGTAAGTGTGCTAGAAACGTTCTCTTTTTAAAGGAATCCCAAGGTGGAATCTTCTTGTAAAGTAAGAAATCAATCCTTAATTTCTCTTTTGCAATCAGGAGAAGCTTTGCACACTGGATTTGCTTAATGCAGGTAACACCTGCTTGCAGCATCAGATGGAGGCTTTGCAGAAGTTGGGAGCATTGCCTCCAGCTGGCCAATCCCGCTTCAACCTCAAATGGAATGCCACACTGGGCTAAGTCCCAGGGAGATTATGAAATCCATCCATCTGGGTATTTATATGACATCTATTGCTGGCGCCCCTGGGTATTTTTGCAAAGAAACTGAAAACAGCACATATTGAGAGCAGGTAGGACAGGCTGAATACCAACATGCCTGCTAGACAGGGAAAGAGAGTAATACAAACACCCACTTTACTTTCTGGAGGGGGGCGTGGAGAGGGAGGAGAGCTCTTTAGAAAGGAGGAGGGTATCAAATGGATGGAGTTTTGTTTTAGGAAATCAAGCCCTCTTCCAGGTTCAACACATTCCAGGATTCCTCAGGATTACTTGTCTTTGTTCCTGAGCCTTTGTTTTTCTTTATATGCTAAAGAAGGTAGTCTTTGGCAAATGTCCTGGTAAAGAGTAAGGTATTAGCTCTTAAAGAGGTTCAGTTTCTCTTCTCTAAAGCAGCTTCCTTCAGGGTGTCCTACAGCAGAAACTAAGCAGTTCCTTCTAAACTTCTGTCTATGAGGGCTATTGAAATTCAAAACCTTTCAGGACCAGTTAGTCCCTAGGCCCTCCTAACCCACAGTCCCTGCCCAAGCCAGGAAGGTGGACCCACGAAACAAGTGAGCAGGTGAGGTGAACTTACTGCTAAAATGCTTGGGCTCCGCTGGAGTTTATTGTAAGGGCTGTATTTCGGCTTCAGTGGTTTCCCTGCAACTCGATCCTTATGCCTTCGGCTAGAAATGTGCTGAAAAAAGTTTGATGCATTAGCTGAATCTAAATGTGAGCTTTACTCCATGTAAAATGTATTTCCTAGATAGAGGTAGCGGGTTGCTCCATTCCCAGTTCTGGGTCCACAGTTACAAGGTGGTGAGGATTAGATCACCGCGCTCTCAAAATTCAGACTTGCTCCCCACTCAGTTCTGATGCCTCTCTTCCTTTCCTTTCTCTGTAGTACTTACCCAGCTTTGCCTGTTGTTACCATCGTGACTGATGAGTCTGTCTCCCTAACCAGATTTTGGTCTTTGAAAGACAGGCTGAACATCTTGTCTTCCAGAAGTTCCTGCTCGACTGACTACAAGCTGCAGGTTGACGCTGTGCTCGCCTAGCCCAGAACCATCATATAGATTAGATACACAAGCCAGTGGTTGATGAGGGAGCAGAAGGCTAGCTGAGGACAAAGCAGAAGCTGACACCCTACACCTTCCCCACCCAATGTGATAGATGTGACATTCCTCAGGCACTCCTGGCTGCCCTAAAGGAAAAACAGGGGGTTAACTGATCGAGATCACGGTCCTACAGGACAGGAGTTTCTCTCAGTTTACAAATGTCCTAGTGATTTACAAGGAAGGAGCTTTCTTATCAATAGCCTAACTTCCAGAGACCCAGAACTCAGTTTCCGGAAGCCCTAACATCACCCTCCCCTCCATAAAATAAAGGGAGGCTGAGGCAGATGGAAATGTAAATAAAATTGAATTTCTTTTTGAACCTGAAGCCCATTGACAAGGACGTGTGTTAGGAGGAATGTAACATTCCTCCAGGAAGCTCCCAACTGTCTTCCCGTTAGTGCCTCATTAGAGGGAAAAACAGCCTTGGCTTGACAATCAATAACCAGGCCTCCAGTATCCTGAGAGTCTTCTTTAGCATATGACAATCCTTCTGGACACCCCCTTTGTCCTCACCTCCCCAACTCCTGAATATATAATCAGCCACGCCTCACAGCCCGGTGCAGCAGCTCATTCTGCCCAAGGGTCCTGTCCCTGGGCTTTAATAAACCACCATTTTGCAACAAAGACATCTCAAGAATTCTTTGTTGGTCATCCGCTCCAGACCTCACCCCACAGAACCTCACCTATAATCTAAAACTTCATCAGTGGTGACCCAACAACAGTGAATACTAATTCAGGATACGTTACCTGCTTGAGCTGAATTTCTGAATTAACATGAACATCACAGATTTCACAATGAAATGTCTTGTTCTGTAGTCCTGAGCCCTTACTGCCATTCTGCATCTTTAACCTTGATCCAGGTCTAGGATAGGACTTAATTGGACCAGCCCCATTACGAGCTTCAACCATGGTCTTGTGTTTAGATCCTAAGACAGAAAGAGACATACATTAACTAAGTAGCTATTTAAGAAGTGAATAGATACATGAATAGCTCTCTGTTTTCTTATCTTTGAGAAGTTTATCTTCAGGCTGAATTTCTCATTGCTTTTTAAAAAAATAATCATTTTAATGCTGATTATAAACACTTTATTTATTAGAAACAATGACGTTGATTATTCAACACATTTTTGTGGTAAAAAATGGGAAAACATGAGTATATTATGGAGAAAATATGGAAAATATAGAGAAGCATAAGAAAGATTACCCTATATTTTCACCACTCAGAGATAATCGCTGTTATCATTTTAGTTTTCTTTTTCAGGTTTTGTTTTGTTTATATGCTAAAAAATACATATATTTTCAAAATTGTGATCATACTAGTTAAATATCCTGAAAATTTCACACAGCAAATCATATGCTTTTTTTTAATAGTTACATTTTAATGACTGAGTACTATATTCTCTCATGTTGGGTTACTCTAATGCATTCGACGTTTCTCTACTGAGGGACTTTTAAATTGTTTCTCTTTTTTTCTAAGTGTGTTGCAGTGAACATTGTGCATAGATATTTGTCTTCATCTCTGTCACTTCATCGTAATGAGTTTTGGGAAATATTAGATGCTTTTGAGAAGATAAAGAACAGAGTAAGTTTTATCTCCAATTTGCTTTAAACTTTTGCCTTGCTGTTTCCAAAATTATTATACCCTACTTTTCTTAAAATCATTCCTTTGAGTCAAAAAAGCAGAGAAGACATGGAACAAACCTAACGTCTGAACAACAAAGGATACGGTATTCTGCTGGGGAAAGTTGGGTTTTGTTATAAACATGATTTAAATTCAAATGATAGCTGCTAACCTGTGTTGTGTGCCTCTAGCTGTGACAGGGAGTTCACAGCCACTTTGCATAGTGAACAATACAGTAATTTTTTGGCTTTTTCTTCTTCTGATTCAGAAACAGTACCAGGAGCTCCGTTTGTGCTCTTCGAGGGAGAAGCGGCTGCCCCAGGTGGCAAGGGTGCTGTGCCAGATTTGAGGAGATAGGAGCCCCCTTCGGAGCCTGATGGCTGACTGCAACTGTTGACTTTTAGCTTCCCTTTATCTTCTAAGAGAGACGCAGAGAGATCATATTGAAGCTTCATGTACCGTATCAACACATGGAAAATTGACATAGAGGAATTACACATAGAAAATGGATTTCCGTATATAGTTTTACTCTCCAGCACAGATTTTAGTTCATTGAACTTGATTGAAAAAGAACTCCATGCCATCAGTTTCCAATATCAGTTCACCCCTAGATTATGATGACTTATGAAAAATGACTTTTTTTCTCCCACTGGTGGCAGGTAACTTTCTGAGATCTTTGAGTTGTAAATTATGTTCCAGGGAAGTTTTTCATGTATAGGAAAACCAACTTCTTTCCAATACGAGTACATGATATGATGGTAATGTGAAATAAGTCATTCGTCAATGGTGGTTTCATTTGACTATTCATGCTTTCATTATGACATGGACATGAAATTAAAATTCAATTTTTATACCAAGTTAGCATTTTAACTTTGAGGTACTGGGGTAGAGGTGAGGGAAGAAGCATGGTTAATTTGGGCTATGGTCAGTTAAGTTTTTGCTGCTCTTTGAATGGCAAAGCAATTTATCTAAAATACAAGATGTGGGTGCCTGGGTGACTCAGTCGTTAAGCATCTGCCTTAGGCTCAGGTCACGATCCCAGGGTCCTGGGATCAAGTCCCACATTGGGCTCCCTGTTTGGCAGGGCGCCTGCTTCTCCCTCTCCCACTCCCCCTGCTTGTGTTCCTGCTCCTGCTGTGTCTCTCTCTGTCAAATAAATTAAATAAATAAATAAATAAATAAAAATACAAGATGCAAAGATTTCATTCATTATACTATGACTACCAGTCTAAATTATAAGTTTTTTGTTTTTTTTTTTTAAGTAAACTCTACCCCCAACATGGGGCTCAAACTCATGACCCTGAGCTCAAGAGTCACATGTTCTACCGGTTGAGCCAGCCAGGTGCCCTAAAATCTTAAGTTTTAAGTAATGACGTTAACCATAAGCACAATATGAGGATTAGCCAAATCATGTATAGACATCTTGGCATTTTGATCATGTAGCTACTAAATGTTCTAATTCTCAAGGCCCATGCTGCAAGCTATAAGGAGGCTCAGAGTGACTTTAACAGAATTTCACTCTTCAGGGTCCATTTGCTATTCAAGACAGGTTCTGTTCAGTGGCTCCTTTGGGAAAGAAACTGGAACTTCTTAGGCAACAGCCTAATCCATCACACATTTAAGCTGAGTAGAGCTGGTGCTCTCAGAAAATGTCTATTGATGTGCTGATGAAGTCTTATTAAGAGGGGAAGGAAATTAAAATTGAAAACTTATTTGTTAATTGTCCTAGCTAATTTGGAACTGTGTACCATGGGCCTGGATCACCAAAAGGGAAGGAGTGACTGGAGGAACTGCAACGCGATAGTGTGTGTCTGTTCTGCAGATGGGGTGAAGCCAAAGGTTTCATATGCATCAAAAATAATGGGAGATCATATTTCTACCTGTTTGATTTTGGGATCAACAGTTGATTTCCATCCCTTTTCCTGCATTGGATCCATCCAGGTCAAGACTAGCGGAGATTCTATAGATGAATTCCAGATCTGGATGGTGTTTGGAATAAATAAATGCTCAGATTCTTTTCTTATCCGTGGGTTTCACAATTTATATTCCTTTTCAGCAAGTTTATTAAAACTTCAGGATGCCATGAAGTATGATGGAAAAGGTCTTAGACTCTTACTAAACTGACTTCCATAGTATGAGAGAAGGAAATAAAATCAATCTTCTTAAATGGTAACAGTAAGTAAATTAGATTGAAGATTATTTCAGGCTTGGAACTATCTCATCTATAAGGATCCCTCAGAGTGATTTTACAATATTATAGAACTCACAAAGCAGTGAAATCATTCAGTAATCTTAACATTTGCACCTACAGAATTACTCAGTTTCTTGTGATGGAACCTCAAGTTGTTGCAGAGCAAAATCTTTACTTCAAGCATTTCATAAGATATTTCATATAAATTTCACCTAAAGAATCTGACCTGTTTTAGTCATTTACTCATTTTCTTTCTTATTCGTATTTATTTTATTGTCCCTTATATTGATCTCCCTCATATACTCTTATTTATATAGAATGTTACAATTTACAAAGTGCCATCACTTACATTATCTTATTATTATCTGTCACAACAAACTTGTGAAATAGGTTAAGGCTGAAAATAATTATTCCCATCTCAAAGATGAGAAAACTCAGGCTCATCAAAATTGAATAATGTCCCACAGATTAGCAGGTGGTATAAATGAGCATGACGTTTGCTCTAACTATTCACTGGGTAGTGTATTCATCTTCCTGCACAAAGGGTGGACTTCATGTGGCATTAACATCATAAAAGGCATACAGTGGTCACTGGAGATGTGACAAAGCTGTTGCTTTCTTTCGTTTTAAAGCATATTTGCCTTCAATGAAAATATCTAGCCTATTCAACAATCATCTGATTCAGAGAAGATGGACAGAATTATCTTTTTTCTCTATTCCTATTTCTTTAAGAAAAATTAAACAGATTTCCTTTCCATATCTCCTTTTCAAAAGAGGTCATTTATTCATTAACAAATGAATATTAACAAAATGCTAATTGCTGACAATGTGCTAAACACTGAAGAGAATAGTAAATAAAGTAGGTATAGACTGAGAAAATAGAAGTTTAGCAGGGAAAATGAGATAATCACTCAGAGATCTCTCATTTATGACAGAAACGGGTAAGAGGCATGGGAGCATGGAGCAGGAAATGATTTCTTCTGGTTAGGAAGAGAGAGACATTCTTCATAAAAGAAGTGATATTTTGGCCAGGTTTTGAAGGTCAGATTTAGACAAGCATAGGATGAGGTGAGAAGGAACAGGAAGTGAATGGTTAGAGGTGGAAACATGAGGAAATGCTTAGGTGTTGGAAAGCTTGGCGTTTGCTTGCTTAATACCTGCTAGCTCAGCACAGATGATGGCAACAGGTGTAACGAGAGATATTATTATAAAGGTGAGTTGAATCAGAAGGTAGAGGAAATCTTAAAACTTGTAAAATGGATACTAAGGGAGGCCATTTTCCTTTAAAACTATTAAGAGATATGGTATGTTTACATAAGTCATGTTTTACTTTTTATCCTCTAGATAGGCCAGAGTCTTAAGCTTTGTGAATACAGGGACAAATTTTGACCCTGAAAATGTGTAAATGGTCCCATCATATTTAGGAAATTCTGCCATTGGATTGATACTAGTTAGTCAATAAAGCAGATCCTAAAATCATCAATGCAATATTATATTTAAACTTTGGCATTCTTTCTGGATGTACAAATTCATAAGCTTCAAGGCTTAATTTTGTTATTTCTCATTTTAATGGCTTTATATTTTTATCAAAATCCATTCTGTTATTTTTCTTTTCTCGTTGGCATTTTTTAAAGCCTCCTTATTTTGTGTATTTGAAAGTTTAATGAATGTACTGTTTACTTCTGTTTCTTTTAATAAAGATGCATGTCATCTGGAACTTCTTCTGGTTAATGTGAATTCCATTTTCAAGTAGTCCCTCACCTAGTGTTAATTAGCAGGTCTTCTGTCTTCATTATTTTCTGATTACTCAAACGCCTTTTTTTAGGTTTTATCCTACAAGACTTTGACGCAAAATTTGCTTAGCTACATCAGAATTGTCCTTTGTAACAAATATCTGTAATTTATGCATCCAAGCGAATTTAATTCTTCAAAGTAGCTGTCGTGGAAGGTTCCACATTGATTTACTTATTTCCCAAAGTTCTAAGCATTTTGAAAACCTCCCATTTTGGAACTGTTTTCATATCTAGTTGATAAACTATGTGAAAGAAATCAGTCTTCAATATTTATTCGTCACAGTTATTTTTTACTCCAAAACTTTACTCAGATTAACCCACCTGTTCATCAAACTTTGCGCTATATTACTCAAAACACAGCTTCAGAGGACAAATAAGCTAACACAGAAGATGAAAAGAACATGCCAGGAGTTCTGGAAGCAGTTTCCAGAAACTAATCCTGTTGGTAACTAGAAGGCTCATATCCATATATAGGTCTTAATTTAAAAAAAAATCAAAATAATATTATAACTACATTGTAGATCTTATGTTTCGAAGTAGAACTTTGGAACCTAAAATCCAATTTTTATGATTCCACTTACAAGGTTACTCTCCAGTTTAATGTTACTAATGTAAGTTTTTTCTAACCAGGTTTTAATGATTTAATAACATACATATTTTATATAATAAACTTATGTTCAATGTAGAAAATAAAGTCATACAAAAAACTTTTAAAAATCACCCATGATTCCATCACCTAAAATAAACTTTTTCTGTAAAGCACCAGATGGTAAAAATACATTAAGCTTTTGTAGGCCATACTGTTTCTGTTGCAACTACTAAGCTTTTGCTATTATAGCAGGAAAGCAGCCACCAGCATGGTTGCGATCTAATAAAACGTTATTTACAAAAATAGGCAGCAGGCTAGCTTTAGCCCACACAGGTAGTAGTCTGTCAACACTTGACCTAGATTATTATAATGATAACTGCTACTTCATACTATTTACACAATAATATATGTGAATAGACAGAAACATGAGGTCACTAACATTTTTCAATTAGCAATAAATCAAGAATATCTTTCCATGTCAGTAAATGTAGAGTTGGATCATGATTTATAACAAATGATATTTACTTATATGGAGGTACTATAATTTATTCAACTAATCTTCTTTGATATTTGGGTTATTTCTGTTTTGCACTTTTACCATGTTAAATAGATACAGAATGGGAGTTTGGTTGCCTCAGAATGAAGGATGCAAGCCCAAACTGAAAGCAATTGGCCATCAAGTATCTCAGCATCTTAGAGTAAGTCCCCAAGGAACCCCCCCGAGACAAACGTGTAGCATTTCTAAGAGGTAGTAGAACTTATCTTGCTACCAACATCTTTTCATGCACTTCTCTAGCCTATCTAAGGATCAGAGGACTCACTGGCATCATGAGCTTCTGTCCTGG